GGCTGATATGAATGTAAGAATGAATGCATCAAAAGCTTACCTTAAGAATGTAAGAATGCATGCATCAAAAACCTACCTTATGAGCAAAGATTAGAGAAGGCTGGCTTTTCTAGTTTAGCTAAATGAAGGCTCACAGTAAGATGGCTGTCTCTTTATGCACTAGAAAAATAAACACTGGGGATGGAACAAGAACTAACAGTGCTGGCACAAATTGTTACAAGAAGAAATGCACATAAGCTTGTCATGAATATGCTTAGACTGGAAACTAGAAGTTTTATAACCATTACAGAAACCAGGCACTAGGGCAGCTTTCTGACTGGAAGAGCAAAGACAAAAAAATTAAGTTTCTAAGCCAGAGTTTGACAAGTTTCTGGAGAGGATTTTGTATGTTTTCCTACGAGAAAATAGCACTAGAGCTGACAACTGACGAGGTCCCTTCCAGTCCTATGCTCTTATTTCCTTCAAAGTAGTCTTGATGTTTTCGCCATGGTGATATTTACAAAACAAAGCTACAGAAAATCTACTCAGTGGTTTTTAAGCATTACAAATATCTGAAACCTCCAAGCTTTGAAGAGCATGCACTCCATTAGCTGGGGAATGAGTCTCTCTAGTGTGAACTGATATGCTTATGGAAATATTCTGGTTTCATACATCTTTAAAATGCAGTTCTTGAGAAATCATTGAGCAAATTTGTTTAAACATGATTGATTAACCAATCTAAATATGCAACACCTAATGAGGATTACATATCAAAGTCAAGTCCCAGACTTCAGGGCTTTTGCCATCAGAAAAAAAAGCTTTATTAGCCCTCAAATAATATATTCTTCCTAACAACCCTCTTAAATTCAAACACAGACGGGATTTTGTTCAAACTTTCAAAAGAAAAAAAAAAAGAAACCAAACCAACCCACAATTGGATGAAGACCAGACATAGTCTGAAAGCTTAATGTTTCAGAAAGTAAGGAGTACATGGAAAGAAGGCATTAATGGAAACGGTTTTGGAACTCTAAGTACAGAGGATGATATCTAGTAACTGCTATAATACTGATTCTGCACTGCCATTAAACTTAATCTTCGATGTTTTTATTGCAACCTGACCCACTATGACATCTCTAAAGAAAATTACATTGTACACTACTATTTCAAGAAGTCAAACTTAGCTAGTCATCTGGGCCATAAAATAGCAGATTACTCCGTCAGGCTGGCTAAAGCAACTAGGAATAAAACTAGATTTACCAACCACATTATTTTTATTAGGAAATGTTTCAAAGCAGACATAATCCCAAAAGACCTTAGTCTCATTCCATCCAAAAATACACAACAGAGAGCAGCAAAAACATGAACTGCAGTATAAAGTACAATTTGTAAATGTGAGAAAAAAATACAAGATGTGCTGCAATGTATCATCCTATCAAAGCAAAAATGAATTAACATAGAAGCTGAAAAAGAAAGTCTTCTACATAATACATGTATTAACAATTTAAAACTTTGTTATAAGTTGTGACATGTTAATAGGAATTGCTTCATTGAATCTCTGCACATCAAGATTTAGTCTGTACTCCTTTTGCTCTTTAAAACTGCAAGCTAATATAGGTGTACTAAATCACAGCTAGAGAGTAAAACCTCCAGAACAGGCAAAAGTTAAAAACAGTATCTTTAACAACAATATTCCTGAAGAACTCTGGTACATTAGCGCTACATGCATTTTATTTTGGATCAGAGCCACAGAACAGCTAAAGCACTGCTTCTTCTGTAATCATTCTAAATGTGGGGAACGGCTCATAACAGTAACAAAAAAGCCCCAACAAAACCAACCAAAAAAAACAACAAAAAAAAAAAAACAACAACGAATTTACTTGGCAGTCTTAACACTTCTCAGCAATTCCTTGTACCATCTTGTTTTCTAACAGGTATTCATGCATACATAATATATAGGTCTTTGTAGATCTGGAATGAAGGAGAAGTAAGTGGTTTGATAGCTAGAAAGGCAAGTTTTAAATTTTAAATACTGCCAAAGTAGGTTAGATGTGCGATATGTGTTTTATCATCTAACCAAGCATTCATGTCTTTCAATTTTAACCTTTTTTTTTCGTAGGCAATATGATCACCTCAGGCAGTCTGGTTTAAAGGCTTTAGCCAATGTAAAAATATATTTAAATTAGACAGGCGTTTGTTACTTTTTTTTAAAGACTTAAATACTGTCTGTATTTTACAAAGGTGGTTCTATTATGCTGGCTGCATCAAACACAGAATATTAATCAGACTGTGAAGCTCCACTAATTACCTGCCACATTTCAGTAACTTAAATTTTGTTAAGTGGCATGGCCACAGATATCGCATGCATAATTTGAGTTTTGAGTCATTTCCCTTTTCTTGTCTGATTTTATTCTACACAGGAAATGACAGGGTCATTTGGAAATTACTGCAGTGAAAGATCAAAAAGGAAACCTGATTGAGAACACTGTTATAATTGCCTGTGTTAGAGAAAAAATAAAATCCAATGAGTTTACAGTCCATCACGGTAAGATTTCTCTGGAAAACACATACCAGGTTTTCTCTAAAAGGGTATCCATTACAACATAAAGTACTGCTATTATTTGTTGAAGCTGCGTCTCTTAAAGAAGCAGGTCTTCTCATTAGGCTAGTTGACTTTTATTCTGCAGGTACTACTTTTGGCACACACAGCACAAATTTACTCACTGAGCTAAAGCAAGCCATTTCATTTGAAGCAAATTTCAGTTAAAGCAAGTTATTTCACTGACTTGTCTCAAAGCCTTTATTTGCAAAAGGAGATAATACTGTAATTAAGGTCTTGGAAAACCATGGTTCTTTGTTATTTTGACAAATCTGACCATTACAATTTACAGTCCCCTATTCCAAAAGGACAGACTTTGGTTGCTGGTGCTAAAAGAAAACTTTTAGAGATCAGCAGCACTCAGCTTAGAGTAAGGATCACATCCAGCTGAGGACTATGGTGTGCCTGCATGGGCTTTTTTCTTTTTTCTTTTTTTTTATCAAGATGTTGATCTACATATCAAGACAGCACTCAGCCTTTCAGCACAGATTTATCACCTACTTTCACCATGTAGATTTCCCAGCTGATCTCCTGCCTAGTTCTGTTCCCTGAGCAGATGCGCTGCAGAGCATGCAATTCCAGGTACGCTCCTGCCATAGCCGACCCCACCAAACCACAGCAACCTCATTAACTCATCAGGATTTCAGCTGATAGTATAAGGGACTGCAAACATAGAAGGTAATGCTTTCCTTTATGGATAAGAATTTCTAAATATTATGAAGTTGTAGCAAAAGAAGTCTATGTTGGGTTCACCTCCCATCACGTTTTAACACATAAAGCAAATGCAAATACCATAAATTTGTATGTGTAGCTTCAATGCCTTAAACTGTTACTTATTGGAGAACAATGCATCACCCTATCAGAATAAACTCTACTGGAATATGATTATTGATTTTCTTGGGACTGCAGTGTGGCTGGACAAATTAAAGACTTTCTGCCATGTAACTCAGAATACAAAACAGATGGATAAAACTGAACAGTCACATATGTAAGAAAAGGCCACAAAAGGCTAAAAATTGTCATGAGGATTTTCATGACAGTTATAACTGTAGATTGCACTTGTTATTTTGATGGATCGTCACCAAAATAATTCAAAGAAACACATTTCTGCCATTCCTAGTAGAGGTGGTACCTTCAGCAGAGGTGGTTCTCTCCAGCAGACAGACTGTGCAGAGCAAACGTTCTTCTGTGGCTGGGACAGTGTACGCTGATCTCAGCCACCCAGAAATGGGTTTTAAGAAAACACAAACACATTTCATTTAAGCTAGTCTACAACTGATAAGATGAATTACTCAAATTTACACAAGAAATCACTTAATCAAAACCTTATTAAAAATAATTTTGCCAATTAGGAAGCACTAACCAGCCATTGATCTGATTGGCTTATCTAAAAAAATAACCCTAATGGAGTAAAACTGAAGTCCTGCTCTACTTATGTAATGACAGCTTTGTCACCAATTTCATCACAGTTGGAATCGTAATCCATCTTGCAAATGATGAGAATAATTTCCAAATATTTGCATCCATATGAAGGAAAGTCCTTTTTTATAATACTGTTATTTGAAATAACACAAAAAGAAATTATCATTTGATGATGAAATGAAACATCATTTACATCACCTGCTTGAAAGAAAATTTTCCAGTGGATTAATTTTAACTTCACTGTGTACTGATAAACTAAAATATAAGTGCCATCAAAAAAATTCCACTACCATGCCTCTCTGAGCAACCAGTTGTCTCCTAATATAAATTATAAATGTAAATCCTTTTCAATGTATTTTAACATATATCCTCAAAATGCACAGTCAGGCTAAAGAAAGGTTTATTTGATTAATTGAATCTGTCCATTTGATTGAAGACCACATCCTGCACCAATGCATGTTCCTATGGTTTTTTTCACATATAAGTTAGAATACACAACAAAGTTTACAGTCAACCATTTCACTATTATTAATTGAACACTTTCAATATGCTGAGTTTCTAGCTAGCTTGTTTCCTTGCCGTCAGTATAATTAACTGCTGGAGAAATGAAACTCTTTACATACACATGCGTACATAAAAGGACTGTGGTCAGACTAGGCTTGGAACACAACCTTTTCTGGTTTTGATTGCTGATTTTGAAAGTCAGACTCATGCGTTGCTAATTGAAATTACATGCATCTACTTATAAATACATACACAAAAGTATTCCTGATTTAACACAACTAACATCTTAACCAAGCAATGCATTTACACTTTTTTGAAATCCAAAATTAATTCTGACTATAAGGATCAAAACATCTAACTTGTATTCTTTAATCAGCCATTTTAAGCTAGCAATACAGTAACGTTGACATGAAGTTGCTTTGAGCAATATAAAACATATGCTACAGTGCATTCATTAAATAACTCTGCATAATGAGTTCCATCTATATAAATGACTTACCTCATTACTTGTCACAAGTTCTTCTCTCGGACTATGGAAGAGGTATTCATACAGTTTATAGTGTTTAAATAAGCTGGAAAACAAGAGAATATAGTACTATTACACCTGTAAATCTTTGGAAAGGTAATCATATTAAAAATTCTGTTAAAACTAAGAGTTACTCTCCAGCATGATAATACTCCAAATTTTTTAAAAAATTGGTTGTTTAACCTCAAGTACAAAAAGCAGAATATTTAATTTACAGCATTTACTATCATATGGCCATTAAAAATACAGGAAGATACTTCAAAATACATCCGCTCTGTAATTATGAAATAGAACTCTGACAAGACAGTTCTGCTCTGAAAAAAGTAATAAACAAAGCCAAATCAGCTTTCAGATTCCTGGATGGACTGCAAGTCTGGGGATCAAGTTGATCCAAAACAATAAAGAATGGAAGCATTTATTCTCTCAAGGTCATGTTGCAAAATCACCGTAGTATTTCCTCAAATTAAAACTAAAGAACTAGACTGACACGCTGGAGTTTTGCGCATTACAACAAAAGTAACTGTAAGTAGATTTGTCAATGCCCTAAAATATTTATCTGCCTTAAAACATATACACCTTTCCTTTCCACATGTTTTAAATATTTTTTCCTGTTCCCTTTCCTAATGATCAATGATACTGCATTTGTTTAATCAAAGGTTTGGTGTTTCACAGACCATCTGTTACAATTACTTGCTCTCTTAAAATCACGATACAGAACTTCTGGCTTCTTCCACATCATTTTGACGTATGATTTAAAACATAGCTCTGTGATTTCATAGCAAGTCCAGGTTGAAGAATGATTACAAGAGTTTATCGCTCTCTGCCTGATGTACCCATGAAAGACACAGCAATATTTGAAGGGAACAGCTGTAACTGGTTCCTGTGCTTTCCAACTAAGGACAGAACAGAGGTTCCTTACTTAAAAGAGCCATCAACTGGGACAGCAGTGCCTCTTTGCTTGGCACTGGCAAGGCCACAGCTGGAATACTGAAGCCTGCCATGAGGAGGGCTTTGAACTAGATGGCCTCCAGAATTAGATGGCCCTTGCAACCTCAATTTTTCTATGGGTCTATGAAAGTAACTAGTATACCCAACAGATGTAATTATCTAGCTAAGGCTAAAGACACTCCTACTAGCAGCAGAATATCATGCTAATGCAGTGGAAGCATGGTTACAATACCAGTGCCTGGCCACACAAACCAGCATGGGCTGCTCCTTGAGACATGGTGCTCCCTAAGCCTCACAGGGAGCCAGCCACTGCAGGTGCCACCCTGGCTGGCTGCCCTACAGCACGGAAGCTTTTCTCTTGCCCAGCTGCCTCACATCCCCATATGGCTGGCAGAAGGGCTCAACCAGCCAGCTGCATGCAAAGTGAGAGGCTGCTGTTGTGAGGCACAGGTATCTGAAATGAAATCCTGGCGCTGGCAAGTAAAACACAGAAGCCAGCTGTGGGAGTCGGTGCTCAGTACACACACTATTTTAACTGGTTGTCCTTCCCTTGGTCATCATCAGTGTTTACATGATGCCACATGCCACAGTACAAGAGGTTCCATGGAATACTGCAAACCAGAGAGGATTTGCTTTAATTTCAGCCCTGAAAGTGCCTTCTAATGTACATCAGTGGTTCTTCTAACCCATGAAAGCAGCTTGGAATTAGGAGAATAAAATGGTGGCATGGTCTGCCTTTCTTCAAAGACAACAGTACATCTTCCAGTAGTTAGTCAAATGTGTCTGTGAAACTTTCAATTTTTACCCAAATGGGCACTGACATTTTTGCCCATATGTACATTTCCTAATTTGTTGAGAAGTATTACTGCAGTCTCATTGAACATTTGGTTCTATGTGCCATATAAAAGTTTTATTCTACAGTTACACTTAATTCAGTCATTCAATTACCATTAGTTAAAAAACAACTTTTTTTACCAACTTGCAAAAGAAATTTGGCTACCGTAAACTACAAGCTCTCTTACTCCAAACAACGCAGGCAATGAATTAAGTTGTTACAATACTTGCCATTTCATTTGCAGTACATTTTTATTGCACTACTTGACCAAAGAATTCCTGCCATGATTCAGTGGAGATACAAGAATGATGTTTAAGCAGACTTCAGGACTTAACCTGGAAACGACTCACACCAATTTACGAAAATACATGTGCCTCCTCACATACACACCTATTATTTGGTAAAATTCTAACAGGGATTATTTGAAATAGAAAAAAAATATTTTAATGAACGTGACAGACACACAAGAAATAAGATGTATCTTTCAAACTGCACTGGCAGAACTTCACATTTCAAAGTGCCTTGGAAATGAGCCAGATTTACAGCACCTAAAAATCAGTTCTTCCCATCTAAATGTGTTACGTATTTCTTATGGACTATGTTGCAGGTACAGATAATTTATAATATTCCCCAAAATACAAGTTAGCACTTTTAGCAATTCTGAATTTCATTATTTTTAAACAGAACTCTGTTCAACCTGGCACCCTTAATCCTGCATCAAGGAAAGAATTCCTCCATTTAACACTCTTTAAATCAAGTCATGTAAATGATACATCAGAATTTATTTTGAAACAACAGTGTAGTTTTCTTTCTTTTATCAGACATCATATAAATGCTTTTGTTTGTTGTGAACAATTAAAAAAATCTATACCAATGTCTTTAGCAATTACTCAATTAAAATTTTACCCATGCAAGTAAGATTAAGAACAGACCCCTCTTAAGATGTCATATGAGAATCTGAAGGTGATTAACAATGACATACTTCCCTACCTCCACTGTTTCCTGAAAGAAAATGTCAAGAGCTATGTGGATGTGTGTTTGCCCAAGGAGACTACATAAAAAGATGATAACTGTCACCTTTCACCAAACCTGAAGGTGTCATTACAGTTGCTGCACAGTCTGTGCCAATGTGGTTAAGTATTTGTCCTCAGTTCCATTATTATCCCCTGGGTTTATATCTCATCTGTAAAAATGTGATCTGAACTAAAATATGTCATACTACCTTGAGCAGGAAAGAAGCTATAGGCCTATCATTTAAAATTAAGCAAAAAAAAAAAAGTGAAGAACAAGGAAAAATATTAAAGTAATACATTAATTTGAATTGTAATAAAACTAAGTCAATCTATTTCTGAGTTCATAAAGGTCAAAGTACACCCAACGTAAGTGTGCTGATTCAGTTCTTATTTAGAAGAAAAATATTCAAACTACTGAAATTACTGATTGTATGAACTGGACACATATAACAGATTTCAGAGTATGTGTATAAATCCATGACTTTGCAACAGCACATACTTGTAATAAATTGAGCAGTTTGAGCTTACATATTCAGTGGAAAAAGTACCATTCTGCTGCAAAAGTCTTGTGGCTTGATTGTATTCCTACCCAGTTAATACTTTGGTGATAGTAGGATGGAGCACCTAATCTCTTGAATTAAAATATTGTAACTGTGTAGGAATTACTTCATGGACAAGATATCTCTGAACGGATAATTTACGCAAGACCTATAGACATGGTATTTGGAAAGAAAATTTGTTCCAGATAAATACACAAAAGGCTCAGGCAGGAAGGGAGAAGTAAAAGAAGCTGAGTGAGACAACTTAAATGCCAACTTTCCTTTTAGTTTAGGGCTAGTGCTTGGCAGGACATTGGTCTGCCTTGACTACAGAAATTCGAGATTCAAAGAGATGTTCTCATTTCATACAGGAAGAACCTGAAATTTTTTATATTTTCCATAAAAAAAAGAAAAAATCAGAGAGCAGGAGAAAGAGACATAGCCCAACTGTAAGAGAAATTGCCTGTGATGGGTTTAAATCTCCAGTCTGAATTAGAGTACCCTAAACTGGAAGGCTATCAGCCATCCTACTATTTCTGTCCATCTTCAAGAGGAAATACTTTCCTGCATCCAGGAAAGCACTCTAAAAGAACCTTTTTGACTTGTTAAAAGTTTTTCTAGCAGTCATGACCTCACCTTTTTATGCCCATCTGCCACAAAACCTCGCTCTAACCACTGCTCAGGTCAAAAAATTGGCTGAAGGGCTACAGATGTAGTACAGTGTATGAGCATAAATTACAATAGTACCTTTCCAATTTGCCATCTCTGTATCCCCAACATTCATGCATGATACAACAGCTTGAGAAGCATTCCATCTATCATGTAGTGGAATCAGAGATAGCTAAGACAGTGGCTATACTCATCTATGTTATTTCAGTGGAGAAAGGTCTGTATACATTACTGTATAGTTAAGACTTTACATGGAGAGGTATGATTGGCTGCTATCAGATCCTTTTTCTCTTTTTCTTCAGATACATAATTGAATTACTGCTGTTTGTATCTCTTTCTGTAACTGTTTAAAAGCTGAGACCTGTCACAAAATCTTTTCATGTAGATACTGAACTTTTCCTAATTTTGAAATGCAACATTTTTATGGTTCTTATATGACCATAAACTTAATAATGTAAAGCACATAACTTTAAAACATTTAAGAAGTCCACTACAGCTGTAAAGGCCAGAAAAATAAAGTTATAGACAAGACCTAGGATTTTATTCAGCTGGAATGTAAAAGTAGAATGCTTTAAATCAAGAATATTCTCTATACACTACTCTCCCCCTTTTCTTTTTTCACCCGAAAAAAAGCCCAGAAGGAAGTTTTTCAGCATAATCTCACATTTGATAAACTTCCAGTCTAAATGTATTTAGTGGGCTTTGACATCTGAAGCTAGATCTGTACTTCTACTTGCATATTCTCTCTTCTTTTTAATGTTTTGAAGCGTGGTGTGTGCACTTATGTTGGCATGTGCAGTATTAACATATCCAATTAAATAATATTAACTTACTCTATCAGCCGTTTCCACACTCTGTAAATTATTCAAATAAGAACAGATCCTGTAGAAATAAATACCTGATATTCAAATAATCAATGACTGCTTTGGCTTGCTCGATGCTGAAGAAATTCAAGTCACCACTGCTTTCTGTATTAGTTTCTCCTGTTCCAGCCATTGCTCTTCCAAGTTCTTTTAAGTTGTCTCCTAAGCTCATATGTTTGTCTGCAAAGTAGACCCAAATAACAAAACCTACATATAAATATGACAGGGTGGGGTTTTGGTTTTTTGTGCTTTTTTTTTCCTTTTAATTACAAGACTTCTTGAAGTTTAAGTAGTAATGAGCCACACAGAAACTTAAAAGCAACAGCACTCATACATTTTTGTCTGTTGCCATTATTCTTGTCAATAAAATGTGCATTAAAATTCCATCACAAAACCACCAATCCACCCTCATAATATAAGGATGACAATAATGGGTGTTTAAGATACTACAGCTTGGCCTCTTTACTTATGCAGAGATAACCACAGGTAGAATAGTATGTAAATTTAAGATGCTTAATATGTTTATCTTTAAAATAAATTTATTATACTTTATGTATTGTAAAATATTGTTCTTCTGACTGTGTCCATATTAATGGCTTATCTTACATAAATCATTAATACAGGAACAGATATTAAAATGGGTAAACAATTTTTTTTAAGTGCTTACAGTCATAATTAAACATTAATATGCATAATACTCTGCATTTATCCTCAAACTTGGAGACATTTTTGCACACTCCCCCAAAATAGATAATGACTTTACTATTTTACCCTGGAAGTCAAAACCTAATGCCAAACAGCTTTGAATTAAAATTTAAATTCCATTTGTTAACTGTCTTTATAAAGAGGAAAATCTGAAATATATTACTTTGCTGAACCTTTAAAAAGAAAGGATTTATCTTTTTGATTTGTGCACAGTGTGCACCATCACTAGAACCATGGTGCAGTTTAAAAAAAAATAAAGTTTTGAATACAATTTACCTGTTTTTTTTTAAGTCTAAAAATATCTAGAGTAGGAAATGGGGAAATATCCACCAGTGGCGATTTATTTCCCTTATTGTTTTAAGTCTCTTCTGATCTGCTTCTTGACTCTTTGTACAGAAAACAAGTTAAAATACTTACAAGATTCTGGTCTATTTTTGCCCTTTAATGCTACAGCAAGCAACCCCCTGAAAATTTCACCAATAGAAGCCATTGGAAATGAGGAAGACTAACAGAACTGGAAATATCAGTTAGTAGCAAAGTGAAACCATGTAACAAGATTCTGATAAGTCACAACACCCAGGCCCAGGTCTGTCATCAGCTAGTCCAAATTTTCTCTTTCCTTTGTACACCTGAGTTTCAGCCCCAACTATCTGTCTCAGGAAGGCTCTCACAGTCCTTCTGAGGTAGGTAGCACTTTACCCTCAATGTACAGAAGATGAATCAAATCATGTAAGTAAGTAACTCCAGCTCCCAGTCAAACAAAACCTCCAGTTTCCAAACCTTAGTTTTTTCCCTCTTTTTTTACCAGCCTCAAATGAGTTTCCACTACCCTCCTTCTCTAAATCCATTCTTCCTGCTCCGTTCTATTCTTGCTATTATGGTCAAATCAGCTTGACATTTTAGACCACTTGGGTCCGGTGTAGGGAGGGAAAAGCAAAAAAGGTCATTAACACAGAAAACATTAGCATTTTGCTCATAGCTGAAATGTTTTGTCTTGTAAGTTGCACCAGCTGAGAACAGTAATTACAAGGAAATTCGTATCAGCCCTGGGCTGTACTTTCTAAGATGGATTATTCAGGGAACTTAGCTGTGAAAAAATATAAGAAATCTCCTGTAAACATTTACAAACCTCATTTTCTTCCCCTAAAAGCATCATGTATCTTAGTCAAATCTGAATGGATTTTCACAGGACAGCAAAAAGTAAATTCACAACACTTGCTTGCTAAATATTATGTCTTTATTTCAAAGCATAAAGGTATTGGAGCTGTTAGGAAAAAAAAAAAACAACAAAACTTCCCCCCCCCCCCCCCCCTCTGTCTGCAAGCCCATTGAACTGTTTTAGTCATAATTTTATGTATAAAATTTAATCAGAGGCAGACATTGCTATGGAAAATTTCTCTTTAAAGAGTTAAAGTCTGGCAAAGTTTTATGCAACTACGATCACATTCCTGAAAAATGTCAGTCAGCTTTAATAATCGGTTATGCTACCAGCTTGTCTGGTACACATGTATTACATACAGTCTCATAAAACTAATTTCTGATACGTTTCCGTTCTTCTCCATTGCTATATTAATCTAGTTAGCATATGTTAAGATACTTTCTCACTGGAGACAGGAAGGACAACTGGAATTCCAATGATCATAAAGCACAAAATTCTGTCAAAATTCCAAGTCAGAAAGGCTCTTGAATTAAATTACAATAAAAGAGTATAATAACTATTACGAGTTTGGTGTTAAATATTCATCTCTTTGAACGGAACTGGTGAGTCCTTTCACTCTTCCTCTGGGATGGACTTTTCTCAACATAATCACGTTCAAAATGAATGTTAAGTAAGCATTGTGATCTCCAGAAAACGGGTTTTAGAGGATGCTGCTATGAATTTTTCTGGTTATTTTGTTCCCACTAGATGCAAGCTACATGCTTTGTTGCAAATTTCTTCATAGTCACAGGAGCTACAGTCCTTTCATTGTCAGTTTTCATCCTCAGCAGTGATGCCAGTTTACTTCTCTCACCAGTTTCTAGTTAACCACTATATTTTGTGCCAGAAGTGCAGCATTTGCCATACAGAAATCTGCCTGAGAGTTGACCTCCAAGGATAAAATAAATGTAATTCACCTGCTGTAATGCTACAGGATGTACTGAATACCTCAAACAGCAGAGAAATGTGCCCAAGGCTACAGTGAGTCAGTCACTGAGACAGCTGGAATTGGAATTTAGGAGCTCCTTGCTCTTACTCTACTGTAATTATTATTTATTTTACCATAGCGAAGATGAGGTCTCTTTAGGACGTGGTGTTTTTGTACTACTTACTGTACAAGGAAATAATTAGTGATAGTCTGCTAAAAAGACTACATTTATCTTTAAGAAAAGTTTAATAACTGCCAATAAGAGCTATTTTCAGGTACCAGTATAACATGCCAGCATTCAAGGGGAAAACAAATAATTTTATGATTACTTATAATAAATATTGCTTCATTAAAATGACTGGAAAACATTCTTGCCTTCCACTTCAGATATTTATTTTACAGTTTTTAATTATACTTACCACTGAGGTTCTCCAACAGGAAATTTAACAGATCCATGAATCCTGACAGCTGTATAAGGCTGAAGTTCATTTCTTTAGCCCACCAAAAACCCGCAGTATAATAATCTAGCAAAATAGCTTCTTTCAAAGATGTATTTAAATGTTTAAAATTCAGAAATTCTTTCAGGTTTCTAGAAGAAATTGCAGATTAAAATAATGAAATTTGAAAATAAATTACAGATTCCAAAATTTAACTTGGTCTGCTTGTAATTATATCTATAAGATACATTGTTATTGTATATATGTGTATATGTTCCTGGAACTTAGCCACATCAATTTCTAGATATGAATATTAATGATAAGAGGACATATCAACTGAAAAAACAAACACCTATAGGCTTCAACAGACACTAAATGTTAAGATATGATTCATGAAATAACAAAAATAAGAACATTACAAAACCCAAAAAGAAATATACTGAAAATCCCAGAGAAAAATCAGTTTGTTCAGGAAGGTGTTTGTAAGGTGAAATGGAAGTCTCCACTTTTGGCTACCACTATTTCCCTCAGATTGAGATACTTTTACAGGACACTAAAAGTATCTTGCTTCCCTTTCAAGATTATTTTTTATGTCACCTCCAAAGAAAAATTAGTTTTGAAAATGAATGTAAATAATATAATATGTAATTATTGAAAGTATGTAAAGTGGAGTTTAAATTCCACTTTCCTAGTAGTCAAGACATTTAAGAGCCTCATCCTATTTTACTGGCACACTGCGGAAAATTTTTCCACTTGATTTAACTTAACAAATTCATGAAAAAATGCACTCTCTTGTAGGAGACCATGCTGTTGCTGATACATTTATGTTTACTCCATCCAAACATAGAATTAATTATGTCTTTCATAATAACTGTGTACATTTTTCCAGGTGAAGAAAAGGGATCAAGGCTAGAACTTCAGTTTGCAGTTCTGCCAGATTAATTCAGCCATGTCTCAGGTAGTTAAGTTTTATATTAAAGCAGTCCTTGGCTTCTTAACTATACCAGACAATGCAAATGCTAGTTGTCATCACAGTTTTCCCCTGTAAGAAAGCAAAGTCTTTCTGTGTGTGTGTGTGTGTCCCCATTCCTTCCTAAGAAGGGCACAGCTACAGGTTGGGCAGAGAAGAGATTCAGAGCAGCCCTGAGGAGAAGAACTTGGGGGTGTTGGTTGATGAGAAAATGAACATGAGCAGGCTTCAGTGTGTGCTTGCAGCCCAGAAAGCCAACCGTATCCTGGGCTGCATCAAAAGGAGCGTGACCAGCAGGTTGAAGGAGGTGATCCTGCCCCTCTACTCTGCTCTTGTGAGACCACACCTGGAGTATTGTGTGCAGTTCTGGTGTCCTCAAACAAAAAGGACATGGAGCTGTTGGAACAAGTCCAGAGGAGGGCCACTAGGATGATCGGGGGACTGGAGCACCTCCCGTATGAAGACGGGCTGAGGAAGTTGGGGCTGTTCAGCCTGGAGAAGAGAAGGCTGTGTGGAGACCTCATAGCAGCCTTCCAGTATCTGAAGGGGGCCTGTAGGGATGCTGGAGAGGGACTCTTGAAGTTTAGATTGGATATAAGAAGGAAATTCTTTCCTTTTAGGGTGGTGAGGCACTGGAATAGGTTGCCCAGGGAGGTTGTGAATGCTCCACCCCTGGCACTGTTCCAGACCAGGCTGGACAAGGCCTTGGGTAATATCATTTAGCGTAAGGTGTCCCTGCCCACGGCAGGGGTGGAACTAGATGATCTTAAGGTCCTTTCCAACCCTAACTATTCTATGATTCTATGATTCTGTGATTAATCTCAGACCTACTGATAGGTCTGAGATAGAAATTTTTCAGGGTTTACACCAAGCCAGTAGAGATACACTATTAAATAAGATGAGCTGTTGGTTTTTTGTTGTTGTTTTTTTTTTAATTAAAGCCTCAATAGCTAACAAAGTGAACCACATAATCCAATCAGTTTTAAAACATATTCCTTTGTTCTTGCACGGCTGCACAAATGCAAGTCGGTTAAAAACACTTAACTGTGTACTGAAATAGAAGTGGAACATGGCCAGCTGAACTTTCCAAGGTTTGAAACGGTCCATATCCTCTCTGAAGCTCCTGCCAACTCTGTGTTTTCATAATCAGAGCTTCTCAGGGATTTAGATTTTTCTCTGATGCTGCTAACTATGCCAGTACTCATTTTTTCAATATTCTGTAAGGCATGTTACTGACAACAGTATCTATAAATGATTGGGAAATGATGGGTCATTTAGATTCCCTTGTTACTCTGATTGCTATCTCTTCCTTCACGGAAGGTGCTCAGTTACTACAGAGATGGACAGCAGTATAAAACTCCATGATAGATACAAATGCAGGATATCAAAATTCTTATACTGAATCAGATCCATTCTGATATTCTACCCTTAGCTATGGCCTTCAAACTGCCTTTATGTATAGACATGATGCACTGTAGTAAACTAACAAAATTTCAGTGCTGCTGCTAAACTGCTTAGAGTCCATAAAGTGCCCTGTAACTATCCTCTTTTCAGTCAGATGCAGTATATACTTTACGTTCCACTTATTCCAGTGTGTATATATACATATGTGATCAGTCGAGACTAAGAAGAAATGCACAAACTTTCAATACTTTTTAATCTTAATGAAAAAGTTTCACAATAAACTGCATCATTAAACACATTTTAGTCTCAAGTTGTATGTTTCAGTCTCTTCTAAAATAAGAGGCCTATCATGGAAGAGAAAACAGTAAATGAGAGATTTTTAAACAATTTTTATAGTTTGCTAGGAGCAAATTCTCTTTCCAGTTTTATTTAAAAAATTATCCCAGAAAGAATTTTTTCTCAGAACAGTGAAAAACAGGAGAAACAGAATATATATCATGAATAATATTATAATCTCTAATAAATAGTTTATCTACTCAGAGGGACAAGGTTCAATTTTTTTTTATCCCCCTCTCTAACCTAGTCCAGTGGACCAGCCCATTGACTTTCAATTCACTAAGAATTTGTGAGAGGACACAAGTCCTCCTAAATAATTCAGGCCCTTCTGAAAAGTCTCATCCTTAAAATATAAGCCTGCAGTCTCAGGTTGAACTCCTGGCCTCTTAAATTTAGCCGTTATTAAGCACTAATAACAAAGGAGAATGTTGCTACAGAAAGGACAAGATGGGTGTAGATCAAAAGTCTTTGTCTGCTTTCTAATCCCCCAGTGCACCATAAAGGCTACCCACTAATACCTTCTTCAGCTTTCCATTCCTTCCTGAACTTTTCAGACCTTTCTGATTTTTCAGTAACTCTAACTTAGAGTACAAAATCTTACATGCTTTAGCAAAAAAGTTACCAAGTAAGACTTTTTAAAAAAGCTCAGCATTTGCCTGTTCTTATTTACATCGTAGTATTTCATTTACAGCATATTTAATACTATTGTAAACTCAGAAACCATATAAACATGAAATACAAGGGGAAGGGTGGGAGGAAAGGAGTAAAGTAAAATCAAACCATATAGGACATACAGTAAAAAAAACCCCTAAAGACTAATGATGTAACTATCACAAAAGAAATCTAACAAATAGTCTAATTTCTGTTTCATTATTATATTGGTTCTAGAATTATTATCATTGCCTCTTACTTTTGAACTTCTTCCTCATTTTGTTCTGACAAAGCAGTAATTTGGGAAAGAGAAAGAAATGTCCGACTAATAACCTTCTTTCCACCTGTGGCATCCTGATCTTGTTCTTCTTCCTACACAAACACATATATACAGAAATATAATTTTAAAAGCTTTATTTTATAATGTCAATAACATATTTAAATAACATTTTTATTTTGAGGAAGTATGTAAGGGACTAATTCAACAAATGCCAAAAATGTAATACAGCTAAAATTATATGGCAGCAACACAATACCCTAACAATTTTTCACTAGAGAAAAGCTAGGCAGATATATGGAAAATAGTATTTTTATCTTAAATTCATGTGGGAACAGAGTGACATATTATGTGCTGCACAAGATTAAATTAAGTTGCAAGTAAAAACAACAGAAATATAAAGGTGAAAAAAAAATCTATGAATCTAGATTTGACCAACATGATACTAGATTGCACAGTAATTAAATTTTAAAATCATTTTCTGGTTAGGGCATTATGAGTATACATACACATTACCATACTGTTTGCTCTACACCCTGAACTTGATTGCATTTTCAAACCTACTGTCTACACCAACTCCTTCCCTAGGCCAAAAAAAAGAAGTCCAAGGTGTTTGCTGCAGCACAATGAAACACATGCGAGGATCTGACACTACTGTTTCAGGGAAGGTCAATATATTTGTAATACAGAAGAAAGCTCTTTATAAGAAATATAAGGATGTACATGTTATGGGGATACCAAAGTAAGCATGAATCAATAATGCCTTACGAATAATGTCTTATGAAAAATAGAGTAATTTGATAATTAGTTTCTTAGGGTGTGTCACTGACCAAAAACCAGAGACTTCAGTAAGAAATCTATGAAATAAATAAAGCACTAGGAAAAACAAATCCTGTTTTACAATAGAATATGCAGGCAACAGAGTGAGTTGTCAAAGCACATTATAAAATGCAAGGAGGCAGACTCTTTGCAGAGATGCTTGGCAGTGGAACAAGGGACATTAGTCATAGAATAAAATATTCCAGTTGAAAGGGATCTACAATGCATTAGCATGTGAAAGCACAAGGAAAAATATTTCATTATGAAGATAATTAATCATTAGAATAGGTTACTCAGAAAGGTGCAAGAATCTCCATTTTTTCAGGTTCTTAAGACTGAACTGGACAAAGCCCTGGTCTGCATTCACTGCCAGCCGAGCTCTGAGCAGCCAGCTGAACCAGCTCATGTCCAAAGGATCCCTCCAGCCACATGACTGCGGGTCTAAGTGGCCTAACCTGCTTCTGCACAAGGACATAAAAACCTGATCATAATTTACTCATAGCAGGTACACTTCTGCATCTGTGGGTCTTGGGCTTTACAGATGTGCAGCAATGCAAAACCTGCAAAATAATGTTTCTAGCCCACCTAGAGAAAGTGGAAGATTTCCTACCACGAGCTGATTTTTGAGCCCGAGCAGCATTGTTCTGGGCTAATAACTAACTAGCATTGGGGAAGGAGAGCCCCCAAATAAAGCTACACTACTCCCCCTGCTGCTGCCAAACTGCAAGATACACTTAAAATTCGGACTAGCTGAGTGGCAACATGCAAGACTGATGAAACAAGACTGAGAGAACAAAGAACATTTAGTAGACAGATTAGGTTGTTTTCCTCCAAGTACTAGAATACTTTCACATGTACTATAATATGAAAAATTATTGTTCCCAACTATAAAGAAGTTCAGATACAGTATCTCATCATAACAACAGGAAGTAAACTAAGACTCCCTTCACATAGTTAGCACAGTTAGAGTTTGCTTTTTTTTTAACAGCAATAATTCTTGCAGTATAAGAGGAAGTACTTGTACAGTCAGTAATGCTGATGTAATTGAAGCTGCATGCCCTAGCTAGGGGGAAAAAAACAACAAAACAAAACAAAACAAACAAAAGGAATAGCTCAACATGCTAATATTATATGATTAATGAAAGATATTTTCCAATAATCAGGAAAAACATGAACACTTTCCTGAAGTGACCAGTGTGTTAGAAACTTGTTGAACAAGAGCAGAAGCAGTTAAGTTAACTGAGTTAAAGGAATAACTGATACTCATGTTTTGAAAAATGAATTAATACCTGCTCATCTCTGTCTGTTCAATACATAGGATACTCTACTATGTATTTTTGCATCATTACATAAATGGTATATTACCAGTCAGTCATTCAACATTTTACTGACCACGCTTCTTCTAAAACACAATGTTAACATTTTACAGGTGTAATGTGTGGGGTTTATTCATCAAGAAGTTTGGGGGGAGGGAGGCTCTCTGTGGCTGTCCTTACGTGAAACAATACTCCTTTTTGACTCTGTAACTGTTGTACTCTGTAAGTAATGGGGGGGGAGGTCAGTTGTTTTGTTGCACAGGATTGTGAGAGAGAAAAGGGGGGCTGGGTGGCTCGAAGTGGTGTCTTGTTGCAACGCTTGAGGGGAGGGGGCTGCGGCGGTGAGGAGGCTGGCAGCGGACGCTTCTCGAAGCCTCTGGGAGCTTCTCGAAACTTCCGGAAACTTCTCCGTAATGAGACCCCCTGCAACAAAGGGAACCAATAGGGAAGAGCCATGTCAACATCCGAGTGAGGAGGGGCGACAGGATTGGCTGGGGCCTTGAACCGAAAAAGATAAAGGACCGCCTCCCAGGGACCGCGTGTGCGCGTCTTGGGCGGAGTGGAGGACTCGCCGGCGCACCCAGCGTTGTTTTATCTGCTATCGCTTACTCAGTTTAATAAAACTTATACTTTAAACCGAAATTGGCTACAATATTGATAACAACAGGTATCACCCCAGATGGACTTTATCGGTATAGGATGGGGAATTTAGCACTGTATTGTAAGAAAAGCATAAGAAAGTTCAAGGTATCATGGTTTTGTTCTCATCAAGCTATTTTTCAGCTTCTCCTCTGCTGTTACAGGCCAGGTGTTTGTAAGAACAAAGCTCCTCCCACAAGACTATCAGTTACCTGCATGACACTCCCCCACGGTTCAAGATCATAGCAGTAGCCCTGCAAATAGAGGTGCATCAAAAGTCTGTTCTCCTTCCTCTTCACGCCTCATGCTGTAAGGAATAGGTTAGTAAGCAAAAAGCTGAACATTCTGGAAACCAACTTTTTATCTGAACTCCCAAGAATCTTACCCAAACTAATTTCTCACTGGTTTTGAACAGTATCAGGCAACATCCATCATGTCAGAAACAGCTTGTCCAAATATTCATATTCTCCTGCCTCCAGTATGTACCTGGCTTACTTACGTATGAAGCTTTCTAACCTATATCGTACTGACAGGCCCAGCATACTTAACATGCTGACACTAAGGCTTATCTTGTTCTCTGAATTACAGCAAGGACCTCTGGGAAAATTTGCTGAAGTCTTAGTATGTAGTGTTGTATTACATCAATATATAAACTGTATAAGATTACAAAAGGTAATCTAAAAATACCTCCAGGTGTCTTGCACTCAGTCACACACTTAAAGGTGCTCTAGCATTAGAAACGTATTCTCTGACCAACTAATGTTTGCAGTTTAAGATATCCAAGCTGTTGTAACTCAGTATTGCAGATAAGGCTCTGTAATATGCACATCAAAATCCAAGAGTTCACATGGCAAGGTGAATGCTTCCTATTTCATCACCTAGCATCTTCAATGATATACCCAGGAGCAACACCCCCAATAATGCATTACTATCTTTGTTACTGCTCATAAGGATGGATTTGTGGCACCACTGTCTACTACAAGCACAGGTATTCAATAAGATTTTCTGTTCCAAATAACTAATGAGGAAATTAATTTTTAAAATATCAGTGTTTCTGTAATTCAAAAAAATAGTGAAAGTCCATTATTCATTTAAACAATCCTGTATTTGTGGAAAGTTTCTTTCTGGGAAGAACCTACACACACACATGTCTAAAAGCTTACAATTATTTTGATTGAATACTGTTTTGTCTTTTGATAGCTATCTTTAACTACCACCGAAAATTCAAAGAGAAGGTATTTTATACACATGTTCACTGATGTCAAAGAATTTATCATTCATTTCACTGTTAACTGTAGTGACTGACTGAGGTAATCCAAGGTGAGTTAATTCTGGTAATGCTAATCCTCCTGTGTTGAGGAAAATCCCCGAGCCAAACCAATCCTACCAATACACACTCCCAGCAGTAGACTTAACCTATTTAAATACAAAGTACTAAAGAATTATTTGTTACTGTTTTATTTTCCTTCAAAGAATGATCAGCGGTTTCAAATGTATAATATATTTCCGGACATTCAAAACATTATTCCAAATGCTTTGGGCACCCCTTGTCAACAGCATCAAATCAAAATACAAAATCAGATATTCTAAAACAGAAGAGTAAGATCTTCCTTGAATCTCTCAGCATTATTCACTGAAGCAGTAAGTATCAGCAGAAGAGTGGTATAGTTATATAGCAAACTGTAAAAAGTCTCTGTGTTTGGCATGGGGAGGGGAAGAACTCTCTCTCAAAACCCCAAGCCGAAAGTGATTCATCCCTGCGGTTTGGGTGAGGGCCTTTCCAGGATGGAAAAACCTTGAAACACAGCAGTAGAAACTAGCATCAGTGTCCCTGAGGGAAAATAAGCTTGTCCTTTGGGATGAGCCCTCTGCAGTCACTGAAGATAGTATTATTTCCATTCATTTGACAATACACCACCACACTTTGCAAAATCATGGCTATCAAAAATATTCACAAAGGAATAGCTTACTAGATCTCTTAAATCATAGCAAATACCCAGAGGGTAAGGAACCCAAGATCCTCCTGTCTTCACTCCATCAGTGAAATTAGACTGGACTAAACTCTGCCTGCTATACCTAGATGGTTTCCAGTATCTGAGCTAGTTCATTTAAAGCTAGTTCAGCTACCTCAATCTGAGCGATACTGCTGACAGCAGTACAGATGTACACTGAAAGACTGTTGCATATCAGTTACAACTTTAATCAACATGGGACTGGGTGAAAAAAACCAACCACACAAAAAAACAACCAAACAACAAAAAAACTCACACCAGCAACACAGGCTGTTATTTGCATTATTATACACATTTTGTTATCAAGCTGTCAAATACTTCAGCAGAAGCAGAAAATCTTGAAGCTGTCTACATAAATAGTTACGGCAGAAACAAAAATACATTAAATGTGTTCACTGTTCCTGTTTGTTTTAAAAAGGCCCCACTTGTCCGTTCCCACAAAGGGAAGTTGAAATCAATAGTTGCTATTTTTAGTTCTAATATTTCTTTTGTTGTCAAACGAGGAAATAAAAACAGTAACACTAATTTCAACTACACTGAAAAAAGAAATATGCAGATACGTCAAATGCAAAAACCAAAACGTATATGGAAAGAAAGCCTGCAGAGGACCATTATAAACAAGAGACAACAATACTGTCCTCATAATAACAAAGCGTATTTCAAAAATTTAACACAGTCCAAACATCAAGATTTATGGATGACCAAATGCATTATGACATTAAACTTTACTGATATTTTCACAGCTGCAGACTACATGCTGGAAAAAATGTTGTTAAAAATAAAGCATCAGCAAGACTTGCTAAGATGAGGGGTTGGATTTTCCCACATACTTTCTACTGAAAGTAATTTCAAGTCAGAACAATTATAAAAATATTCAATTTAAATCAAAAGGAATTATCTCAAGATCTAAGAAACAATAGAACAAAAAACAGTGGTATAATATGGTGTTACCTACAGCTTTAGAAATAGACCTTGAAAAGCTTGCCTCAGCCAAAGCTACAGACTATATAATTATTTATAAAAACTGCACAAATCCACAGATCTTACCACAAAAATAAATCATAAAGGATAGCAGGAAATATCACAAAGGTTACCTAGTGTGCAAAACCAATTTAAATACATAAGGAACACAACATATGTGAGAAGAAAAAAAAAAAGAAAAAAAACCACAACAAAGAAACCCCCCAGAAAACATTCACTGAGTTCCTCTGAAGATTCTTTTTATAAAGCCACAAAGTAAAACTGACAATAATTTCAGTGGTATATTTCAGAAGGAGGTACAATGTACTTTTGATAGCCTGTTGTTTCCCATACAGTACGCCTTGTATCCTTTTACTCTGATCTGACTGCATTACCCTGTTCCAACTGCCAAAATACATACTGAGAACACTAACACAGAATATGGTGAAAGATGCATATATTTTTCATTAAACATTTAAAATACGTAATAATAGATTTTACATGAAAGAGAATTTATTTCTTTAAGGAAACCTAAACATTAAGCTTTTCTTCCAACAACGATTGGGGTAGCTTTGTGCCAACAGATGCAACTATTACACTGGCTGAAAGCAGTTACTTCCACAACAGTCACAGTAGCTTCTCAGTCATCTAAAACAAAGCAATTTAACTAGAAGCAAATTATCTTCTAGTAGCTACAACTATACAGGCAGAGTTGAGGGACAAATTCTGAGCTGATGCAACACTTCATACATTCCTGGGAGGAATAACTTCTATGTTTCTCTTGACATGCAGCATGAGAGGAGTTGCCTGTCAGAAATAACACCTCTGACACCTGAGTTAAAAACTGCAATGCAAATAAAAACACCCCAAGACAAGAAATAAAAGAAATCTGCCCCCCCCCCCCCCCAAAAAAAAAACAAAAGAAAACGTTAAGGAGAATGACATGGGTTTATGAAACTCTCTAGAGCACACTGACTACCTAAGGCAATGTAAGGTGAGAAACACAACTGTGATGTTACTAGAAGCAAGGTGTGAGCTTGCTTCTGCCCCCTCGCTTCTCTTTGAAGGGAAACTGTACACCTTCCCCACAACAAACAAACATTATGAGATTCCTACCACTACAAATAAGCAAAGTGTTGTCGCTGACCCGCGCTGGACACTAGATGCCCAAAGCTGCTCTATCACTCCCCCTTCTCAGCTGGACAGCAGAAAAAAAAAATACAATGAAAGGTTAAGACAGGGGCAGGGAGAGATCACTCAGCAATTACTATCACAAGTAAAACAGACTTGACTTGGGGAAATAAATGTAATTTATTATCAAATCAGAGTAGGGTAATGCGAAATAAAAACTAAATCTTGAAACATCTTCCCCCCCCTTCTTTCTTCCTAGGCTCAACTTTCCTCCCAGATTTTCTACCTCCTCCTCCCACCATGGCACATGGGAATTAGGAATAGGGGTGCTGGTCAGTTGATCACACATTGTTTCTGCCACTCTTTCCTCCCCAGGGCAGAACCCCTCCTCCAGAGTGGGGTCCCTCCCACGGGAGACAGTCTTGCCTAAACTGCTCCAGTGTGGGTCCTATATTTGTGTGGGTGTTTTTCCCCTTCTGAAACCTGTTATACGACTGTTGCTGATTGGCCTGGCTTTGGCCAGCAGCAGGCCTGCATTGCAGCTGGCTGGCATTGATGCAGCTGGACATGGGGGAACTTTCTAGAAGCTTCTCACAGAAGCCACCCCTGTAGCCTCCCTACAACTCAAACCTTGCCACACAAACCCAATAAACCAAGAAATAGCAATATATCAGAGTCCACAACTGACTGAAAACCGGCGAGCATGGTGGGAGAAGTGGAAGGTGGGTGAGGAGCTCACCAGTTGCATTTGAGAGGCGAGGGAGGGGATGGACCCTGCCGGGCCCGTGACAGCCGAAGCCTCCGGGCGTTTCTGGGGGGAATTGCCCCGCTGTGTCGGGCGGGTGCCCCCCCTTAAACTCTCTTGGGGATTAAGGTTACGCAGGTATGTATACCCACGCTGCATTTTTAAACACCCCACCCTTTTTACTTTCTCCGAAGCTCAGCGAAGATATTTAAAATGCACTATAAAAATAAGAGGGTGCAAAGACGGCGAGCGTCGGGGCACTGCGGGGAGAGGGCGCAGGCCCCGCTGCCCCAGCCCTGTCCTGCAGCATGCCGCCTTAGCGGCGCTAGCGCCGCGGCCCCTTACACCGCCCCCCGGTCCCTCAGGGTGAACCGACGCCGGCGGAGCGCCCGTAAGACGCGCAGCAGCCCTGGGAGTACCTTCCCTAACTCCTCCATGCTGCCCGCGGGTCGGCGTCCCCATCGCCCAGGGAACGGGGGCGGAGCCCTGGCGGCTGGCGCGGCGGTGAGCTCCTCCCCCGTGAGCTCTCACCCTGGCCCGCCCCCATTTTTGCTCTCCGGTGGGTTTGCGGCAGCACTCCGCATGGTCTCATGGGGAGGAACGGGCGGCCTTTTCCCTTCGCAGGCTGCCCGAGTGCAGCACTGGCACAGCAGCGGTGGTTTGGGAGAAGGGTTTCGGCGGACCTGTGTGTCAAGTGACTGGAGAGTAGGCCTGCGTTGCTCATGGGGCTTGGGGCAGGCAGGGCCGCGGTGAGCTGCCTTCACAGCCCCTACGCTGGATGCAGCTTACCGGTACCGGTGGCAAGGCACCTAGGAAGGGGCCTGCTTGAGGAGGGGTCCATCAGCCTAACGGCTCCACCTGATCCTCTCAGGTTTTGCAGCATGTCCAGCAGTCGCTAGCACCACTGAAGTGCAGAGTTGACAATGCAGACATCACAGGTGGTGTTTGGAAGGCGGGTGCAGGAGCGCGAGGAGGTGGTGGGCTGAAAAACAGTGCCATACAATCTGTGAGAAGACGCAGTCTGGGCGAGATGGTGGCAGAGGATGTGTGAGGTGCTGCTGGACCATGAGGGCTGTGCCATCTCAGGGCCTGTGCCCATGTCTGCCTTCGGATTCAGTGACCAGTGCTGCATTGTGCGTGAGGAGAGATGTCTTAGGAACATCGCACACTGTAAAGCAATGTTTCCATGCCCATTTTAATTTAGCTTTCCCTAGTCTAAATAGTGCCAGTAATTACTGTAAGCATTGTTTGAATAGCAGTTAGAAGGATAGCATCATGCAGTTCTCCCTGCAGTTACTCTTGACAAATCCCAAAATTTTCAGCTGTTTGAAAACTACTCAAACTAAAACCTAAACCTAAATACAGTCCAAGAATGTCAACAGCAATTATTATAGCTCAGATGTCAGCAGGCATAAATCAGCATGTCTGTTGGGACCGATGGAGGGAAGCAGAGTTACTCCAGCTAAGGATCTGGACTTAACTGTTCATATTTCATGTACAATTTAGGAACAATTCACATGCTATAGTAAGTGGAAGAAGACTTAGAGACTGAACTGCATTTTCATTATGACATGCATCAGTATTTATTGTTTTTCCTCTTTGTCCTATTTTGTCTTTTTTAACTTGGAATACTAGTAGACTAACATGCTGAAACATTGTCAGCTTTGTGTTGCATGCAGACTCACAGCAGCAGCAACAATTCAGAGTAATAGCACATGCAAGCTCAAAATGCAAGCATTTGGTGGTGAATAGTAATGAGAGCAAAGAAAAAACTAACTTTATTTTGCAAAGTTTATTGATGTGCTGATGGAAGTTATGACAAAACTATTTCTTTGCAGTACCCCACATAAAGCAAAGACCTCTCTGGGATTTCTGCAGCTGTTTCAATGTCTACTACTATTTCTGAGCAGTTTGCCCACTTGCTGGAGGTTGCCATCATCAGTTTCTTAAAATGTGCAAGCCACTAAATACAGTACCTCTGTCTTAGCTGGGTCACAAGGGACAAGAACCTGCCCATTACCCAAGAAGATTCTGATACATAGTGCGAGATTCAACAGTTGGAAACACGTTTCTATTCACCTTTAGTTAAGCATTACCAAGCACAGTAATTATACATAGGCAAATTCAGGATGAAAAGCAGATGGATATTCCTAGTGGAGCCTTGTGTGTTAAAACAACATCAGATGGACATACAGCTCCCCTGGCAGCCAGTCCTCCAGACAACAAATTGCTTATATTCTTGACTGGTGGGACAAGGATGAAGAAAACATGGGCATGTATGGAGATCTTGTATTTGGGTTTGACCCTCTTAGTAACAAATGGGCAATTTTTGAAAGCAACAGTACATTAGTGCTCCATGGCTCTTAATAAGGAGACATACATTATTATATGTAGGTGCATTAACATAGTAATTAATCATCGTCTCCTGGCTCCTTTTTAACATTCATCACAGATACCCTATCCAGGGAACAGTTCCCTCTAGGTAATGTTCTGCTGGTTTACATATCATATATCTTCAGAAAAAAATTCAGGACATGATTATGCACTAGAAAAACACATAAATTCCAGGTTGTCAGAGAAGCTTGCTTTTAAAGCAAAAAGATAATCCTACAATTTCTAAGGCAATATCCAATTAAAATAAGATACAAGAGGATAACTGCTTCAGTGTATCAGCAGCAGGGTGGTCAGTCCTGAGTTACTTCCAGAGATGCTATTTCTTTGAGTTCACTATACTTCAATGCGATCTAGCTCAGAACCTCTCACTATGTCATTAATAGGCAGGCAAAATTTCTGTGTGATTTGATAGTGATTTTGAGTGACTTGTAACATTAGTACTTGGCCCAGCTATAAGAAAGTACAAGTTAAATTTAGCAAATCATAAGTTTTCAATTATTGAAAACAATATGCATGCAGAGAAATGAAAGTAAAGCATGTACTCTATCCATGATTCCATTATCCTCTCCCCATAAAGAGAAGTGGCTCAATGGAGGATAAAAGCAAATATTAGATTGATTCTGTTCTTGATCTTAGCCAAAAGACTGCTATATCTAGTGCCAAGAAATTGAATTGAGGTTCACAGAAATCCTAAGAATCAGATAGAAAAGACTTAAAAGGACATATAGTTCGTCTCCAGGGGACATGTATTTTTTCTTGCCAACACAAACTTCAGGAAGAAATACGAATTTATTTAACCCAGTAGTTCAAGACAGTCCCTTACTATGTAGAAGTAATGTAAATGTGCATATAACATGCAGTATGCTATCATTATGGATGAAGAAAGTGTAGAATTTTCTCTGCTCTAAGTATCTTTTAGTTCAAGACTAAATTACGAGACCTGATACATAAGATAAAGCAGGTAATTAAGAGCCCAGCTATTTCAGAATGCCTGCATCCAAGATGAGCAATCACTATAACAAAACCAAAATCTCTGTAGGTCTAAACATCTCCTCACAGTCAGCATTCAGACCAGAATAATCCACTAAGGATCACCAAATTCAAGACAAGAGACAAAAAGAACAGTGCTAACCATTGAGTGACTCTAAGCCCCTGGGGACAGGAAATGACTTTCTATCCTGTACAGTCATGAGTACACTGGTGACAATGAGCAAACAATTTAACATAAGCTTAATGTAGGTCTTTGGGTTTATTGTGAGTGCATAGGACAGCATAATTTCACTGAATGAGAGCTATATTCTTCACGGGGACATGCTGTTTAGTATGGAAAATGTCAATTAATGTAGTAAGGAAAATTACCAGAAGAAATAACCAAAAATATATTATAATGGCAAACAGATATGAAAGTTGTTAAATATAATTTTACATATATTTATATATAAAATATATATATTGAACATATATATGTATTTTTTTATATAATAAATATGTACATATTCTTTTTTTCAGACTACATTTTGAGCTCAGATTCCCATCTCTATGTCTGTCCTAAAGAGATGAACTACCATTAATCTTGACAAGTTTGCATGAACTAGAATATTGAACTCCACGCAAAAGACATTGTCTTTTGAGCAAACAATCTTTAAATTTCATTTTGATAGTCAAAACTTGACTTTTAAATTTGAAGTACTGTTTCATTCTGTTGGCAGACTAAAGAAGATAGACAGGCACAACTGCATAAAGTAAAAGCCTGAAACTATTGTTGCATCTTAATAACATAGCAAAGCCTGGGGAAAAAAAAAAAAATTCACTGATTCTATTGTCCTTGCCCTTTTGCCCTCAAATGGGAACATCATTTATTCCAGAGACTTCATGTTTTACTTCTGTCATGTCTCTGTTGTGAAGCTCTATTGATTTTTTTGCCACCTTCTCTATATGATATTAATCAGCTTTTAGAATAACATGTAACAATTCAGGGCAGTAAGTGAAAAAATACATCCAGCTGAAATTACAGGGATGGGGAGGATGTTCAATAGAGAGACCATAATTATCCAAGACACAAGTTGGCTTGTGTACTGGAGCTTACAAAACCATCTTTAAGAAAAACAAAAAAAAAAAAATCAAAACAAAACCCCTAAACTAAACTAAACTAAACTAAACTAAACTAAACTAAACCTCTGACCAAACCACCCAAGTCTTGGAAGGCAGATGCAGGGACTGTGAGAATGAAGACCTTGCACCCACTGTAGGAGAAGAACTGGTTCAAGACCATCTTAAAAATCTGAACGTGCACAAGTCCAGGGGTCCTGATGAAATACATCCGCGGGTCCTGAAGGAGCTGGCAAATGAACTTCCGAAGCCGCTGGCCATCATATTTGAGAAATCATGGCAGTCAGGTGAAGTTCCCGACGACTGGAAAAAGGGAAATACAACCCCCATTTTCAAGAAGGGGAAAATGGATGACCCAGGGAATTACAGACCAGTCAGTCTCACCTCTATGCCTGGCAAAATCTTGGAGCAGATTCTCCTGGATGGCATGCTAAGGCACATGAAAATCAACAAGGTGCTTGGTGACAGCCAGCATGGCTTCACTAAGGGGAAATCCTGCCTGACCAATTTGGTGGCCGCCTATGATGGGGCTACAGAACTGATGGACAGGGGTAGAGCAGTTGATGTCATCTACCTGGACTTGTGCAAAGCATTCGACACTGTCCCACACGACATCCTTGTCTCTAAATTGGGGAGACATCAATTTGATGGATGGACCACTCGGTGGATAAAGAACTGGGTGGATGGCTGTACACAAAGAGTTGTCAATGGCTCAGTGTTCGACTGGAGACCAGTAACGAGTGGCGTCCCTCAGGGATCAGTGTTGGGACTGGTCTTGTTCAACATCTTCGTTGCTGACATGGACAGTGGGATTGAGTGTGCCCTCAGCAAGTTTGCCGATGGCACCAAGCTGTGTGGTTCAGTTGATAGGTTGGAGGAAAGGAATGCCATCCAGAGGGACCTTGACATGCTTATGCCAACCTCATGAAGTCTAACCATGACAAATGCAAGGTCCTGCACCTGGGTCGGAGCAATCCCAGGCACAGCTACAGGCTGGGCAGAGAAGAGATTCAGAGCAGCCCTGTGGAGAAGGACTTGGGGT